CAGCAACATTGTTGATTTAACTTTACGCTACAGAGAAGCAGATCACAGAAATGTGTTACCAAATCAGTACCTATATAAATGGAAATGAAACGGGAATTGTTATCAGTAGTGTTGCGAGCAATTGCGCAGTACGGTTGGTCACCCGTCGACAATGAGTGACGCTACAGCAAATATGCTCGGCCTGCCAGGTCTGTTAATTGGCAATAGTAACCTTGTTAAACAGCTAGCGCTGTAAGATCTAAGTTAGAACAGTGTCTGTGAACGTATCAACCTTGAAAATCGCTTCGGGCGAATAATATGCAGTCGTTCCGAAGTGATGTGGAAAACATAAGCTGTAAATATTGTAAATATCCGGGACCAGGAGAATGAAGAAGGAAGACGTGAAATTATCTGTGTATTAACATATGCAACTGCTTAAGCATAGCACCCCCATAGCGATGAGAAACCAGTAGTCGAATTTTGATAAAGAAAGCATCGAAAAGTTAGGTAAGCATTTATGCGCTCGACCCAGGGCCCAGGCGTGCACAAGGATTGGTACCGCGGTACTGGAATGGTGCCTGGCCGAGAAACCCTGTGGCAAAATTTCAGCACTGAAGCTTGCTTGGTTGCCGAGTTCAAATACCTGGACAGACACACCTAATTACTGTGCTTGGGTAATAACTACAAAGCATTCCAGAATACCCAGAGCTGCCAAGCAACCAGGACAACATGACAATCGACTGCGACGGCACTCCGCTTTGCTGTGATCCATATGGTTGTTTTTGCGAGTATTTGTTGCACTGCTTTTTTACTCTATCAATGTAGGGTATTAGCGCACGATCACTACCACAAAAAAAACTTTTTCTCCGGTTCACCACCGAAAGGAATCAAGAATCGCCAAAATTGACCTATAAGTTACTGGAACCATACTGACGCAGCATTTGAATAAGCGTTACCTTCGACAAAATGGTCTGCAGTAATTTGCTTCAGAAGTTTTCAGATTATGATCCGAAAACGGATCCGAGAGCGCCAAAATTCCAAGACTCAATGGCTGTAATTGGAGCTGGTGAGTAAATTCACTATGGCATCTTATGCATTTTGATTTCGTCTTACATCTGCAGTGATCGAAAGATTTTTTGTTTACACCTTTCTCAGTCTTTCAAAAAAAAAATAAAGAAATCGAGGATTTTAATGACTATGAGGTTGCCTAGCAGACTGAACAGATGATGCAACAGCGGTCGCAGGTCGATAACTCACAGATTAGCTGCTAAGCTTCCTCAGCTGCAAAACATCCTGCAGTAACTAGCGTACTGTACAAGGAGTTAAAAGATAAAAGAGATTTACGGCAAAGGATGACCATCTGGCCAGTTAGCCATCAAAGTATAACTAGCTGCAAAATGAAAAGGCAACATACAGATAATGATAGGATTAGTAACTAAAGAGGCTGACTGAATCGGATATACTGTGATGCGCCGTACTGTGCAAGGAGTTAAAAGATAAAAGAGATTTACGGCATACTTTAAGAGAAAAGTTATAAAATTTCTGGCATAATCCTAATTTGCTTCTCAGCAAATTAGGTTTATCCCAAGATTATTTATATGCGTAAGCAAGCGGAGATATTGATCAAACGCACTACATTTTTTCACTTTCCGGGAATTCCTCTGGCAACCTGGAAGTTGTAATTTGCTTGCAGTAAAATAAAATTTTTTTTTTCATACTTTTACTTTATATAAAAGTATCAAATTATTCCAGTGCCGACCAGAGAGTTGTCGCTTGAGAATATGGCGCCCGAATGGCAACAAGTGGCTCTTAATGGTTACGGTGTGTGATTCTGGTATTTCTCGGACAAGATTGCTGCAAATACTGTAGTCTACAGTGTTTCACCGTCTACTCCTCTTGATTACTTAGCGCATTTCATATTTACTTTTCTAGTAATTTGCTAGTCAAAATTTGAATTGCACTTAAATGTGCTAACCCAGAACTATGCTCGAGCGATCACCGTTGGGCTACTAATGACTACTGGTCTACTTACAGAAGTACCTGCGGGAAGAGCAAACAGTAATGGCGACGATCCAAACAATTACGCCGATATCAACGAGCCAAGTTTATTTTCCACTTGAAATTAGGAGCATTATGGTCCAGAAGTGAGATGCGTAATATGCAGAATGATACCGCTTTTTTGTATTATAATAATTTCGAAAATATAAAAATTGTTGTGTCATCCTTCTTCTAAGCTCCTCGTACAGACGATGAGCTAGGGCATGGCGCAGTGGAAGTAGCACCGTATTTTGCAGAAAATCGCTGGTTCGGAACCAATCCCTCAACGATATACGATACCTAGTAGAGCTGGACTTGGTGACTGTAACTATAAAACGGCGTAATTTAAACTAGTAGGCTGATACAATATCAGTGATTTTGCGTGTTGCAGTTCCTAAAAATTTGCCAAAAAAATCGGTGCCTGTTAAAAACGCAATTTACAGAAGATTGGATGAGTGAAAAAACTGAAGCAAGCAGTGAAACTGCACTGGAAAATTCGAATGAAAATGTGACGTTCACTGAGGATTCTGGAAATGTGGGGAGTGATGACGACAGCGAGCGTTCGTTGGAGTATTCGTGTTGCACTTGCAAATCCGGAACTCTTTCTGGATGTTTGTTTTTCGAATTGAATTCAAGACAATTTTTCGATTCTAAATGACTGATTCCAGAAGACAGTATCCTTATCGCATTCACTCATTTTTCAGCGCGTGGGAGGGCGGCGAATAAGTACAGGGGGCAGGGAAGAATGGGTAAGAGTGGACCAGGGGGTAAAAAAAAGCTGGGGTGGCACAAATCACTGACCTAAAAAAGGGTGACTAGAGCAAGTATAAAAGCCAGTAGCTATTCTGGAAGCTGATCTAAAAAAAGAATGCTTGTATGGATATGCTCGGCCAGTGCTTGTACTGCAGTAAAAGCATAAGCTTCATTCCGACAGTCCGAGAAACCCTTGAGTAATATTTGAAGGGAGAGAGTACAATTATCACTCAGCTATGCACTGCAGGAGCCTTTTTTCAGCGGAC